GCGGCTTACATGTGTTGGTCAGGCCCCTTGGGCCTCCATTTGACAGCTGAATTGCGGGCCAAGATAGAAAAAGGGGAATTTGTCGAAATATTTTCCCTTCTCCCTATGGAGGACTTGCCTCGGGTTGATCCTGCAGCAAAGGAGTCAGAAAAGGAAAAAGAGAAGTTTCGGTATCGGAAGATACCGAAAACTTTTGGGAATTGGATCAGGGCCTTTTCTATCCTGGCTAGCGTTATAGGGGAAAAGAATCCCAACAAATGCTCTTCTCTATTTTGCTACCAGGATATGATCTGGAACGCGTGTCGGGTTTATGGCGGGTTAGGCTGGTGGCGGTATGATGAACAATTCCGCCAGCGCCTAGCGGTGCGCCCTTCCCTGAGTTGGGATCAAATGGATATCGGCTTGTGGTTGGCCATCATGACCCGTCCCGCTTCACATCAGGGGGGCCTGTCGTCCTTTCTTGGGGGGGCCGGCGCAGGGTCCTCACCCTCCACGTCGGCCACTCAGCGTAGAACAGGTTGCTGTTGGCAATTTAACGACGGCCAGTGTAAATTCGGAGCAAATTGTCGCTTCAAGCACGAATGCTCCGGTTGCGGCGGGTCCCACCCCGCTTCTAAGTGTTTTAAGCGGGGTAAGTTTGGCGACAAAGGGGATGCCATGGGCGCTAAGGGCGAAGACGCCGGTGGACGTCGTCGCGATGCGTCCGTGGCTAAAACGTTATAGGAACAAAAAGGCGGCTGCCTTGCTCCTGGAAGGGTTTACTCATGGTTTTTGGATTCCCCATCGGGCTCGTTCGCCCTCAGGGTCGTGTCGGAACCTGCGTTCCGTTGCTGAACACCCGGGGGTGGTAAAAGACAAGCTGGCTAAGGAAGTGGCATTGGGCCGCATGGCTGGCCCTTTTTGTGAACCCCCCCTTCCTGACCTTCGGGTATCGCCACTAGGCGTCGTTCCCAAGAGAGAGCACGGAAAATTTCGGCTAATTCATCATCTCTCGCACCCCCAAGGGGGTTCCGTGAATGATGACATTGCGGCGGAGCTATGCCGGGTTTCATACGCCTCGTTTGATACTGCGGTTGGTATGGTTAGGGCCGCGGGCCCCGGTGCACTGATGGCAAAAACCGACATTGAGTCGGCTTTTCGCCTCCTGCCGGTTCACCCGGAGTGTCATCATCTGCTCGGATGTTCCTTTGAAGGGCAATTTTACGTGGATATGTGCCTCCCGATGGGTTGTGCAATATCCTGTTTTTATTTTGAATGTTTTAGCTCCTTCATGGAATGGGTAGTGAGAACTGAGTCTGGCTATGACTCAGTGCTTCACTATTTGGATGATTTTCTTTGTGTGGGTCCCGCGAACTCCCCGGTATGCGCGCACATTTTGCAATCGGTAGCCGACGTGGCCTGTGGGTTCGGCGTGCCTCTGGCGCCCGATAAGACGGTGGGCCCTTCCCCGTGCTTGTGTTTTCTTGGAATTGAGATCGATTCGGTTATTGGGGAATGTCGCCTCCCGCCGGATAAGTTGGAGGATCTGCGGGGGGCTGTGCGGGAGGCGATCTCCCTCCGGAAGATTACTTTACAACGGCTTCAATCCCTTCTTGGCAAGTTGAATTTTGCATGTCGGATTATGCCTATGGGTCGAGTGTTTAACCGGCGCCTAGCGGCCGCCACGGCAGGAATTGTAAAATCATTTCATTTTATCCGCTTAACCAAAGTGCTCAAGGAGGACTTGGCAGTATGGATGGTTTTCTTAGATGGGTACAATGGCAGGTCCTATTGGCAACAACCAGAGGTGTCGAATTCTGTGCTACACCTGTTTACTGATGCGGCAGGTGCATCAGGATTCGGGGCTATCTTAGGGACGCAATGGTGCGCGGAACCTTGGCCTGCGGCTTGGATTGCTGCTGGCCTTACCAAAAATATGGCCCTCCTTGAGCTCTTCCCCATCGTGGTGGCAGTTCATTTGTGGGGAATGGAGTTCAGGGACCGGCGCGTCGTCTTCCATTGCGATAACTTGGGGGTGGTGCAGGCCATTAATAATCTAACGGCCTCCTCCCCTCCGGTGGTCAGGCTCTTGCGGCGTCTGGTCTTACGATGCTTGTCATTGAATGTTTCATGCCGCGCTGTGCACATTCCAGGTGTTGTGAATACCACAGCTGACGCTCTCTCTCGTTTCCAATGGCAGGTATTTCGATCGGCTGCTCCGGAAGCGGATCTGGAAGGTCTCTCCTGTCCCGCGGAACTCTGGTCCCTTGGCCTGAGCGAATAAGGGAGTGGATACGGTCGTCGGTATCTGAGGCAACATGGGTCCGGTATGGTAAGGCATGGGGTGATTGGGTCGCACTGGAACAGGATTGCGGTGGGTTCGGCTCCTCTGACGAGAGGGTCCAGGGTCGGTTACGGTTGCTCTGGTTCTGGGAGGCTAGCGGGTGTTCCCCAGCTACGGTGTCAGGGAAGCTCTCAGGCCTTAGTTTCTGGTTCAATTTAACCCAAGTACCCGATGTGACGAAACACTGCATGGTGAGGCTTGCGATGCGCGGTTGGCGGAAAGGCCCGATGGTGCGGGATACTCGGAGGCCGGTTTCGGGCGCGCTCCTGTTAGGGATCGCCTCGGTTCTCCCCCAGGTCTGCTTTTCAACTCCGGAGGCTAGATTGTTTTTGGTGGCGTTTACTTTCGCCTTTTTTGGGGCTCTTCGGGTCGGAGAACTGGTCAGCCCTAGCAGGGGGACCCCTGGGGGGCTTTTATTTCAGGACGTGTTCGTCACGAGTACTACGGTGCAATTTTTGTTGCGCCGGTCCAAGACCGACGTTTTTGGCAGGGGTAAGTGGGTTACCCTTCGTGCCATTCCGGATTCGGCAGTTTGCCCCGTCTCGGCATACCTATCTTACAGTTCTGGGCGACCAGGTTTCTCCGGCCCGCTGTTAATTCATGAAAATGGTGCTTACTTATCTCGATTTCAATTTCTCAGGGTATTTCGCCTGGCCCTTGATCGGCTGGGAATCCCGAGCAAGGAGTTTGGGGGTCATTCCTTCCGCATTGGGGCCGCAACCGAAGCCTCTCGGTTGGGTTTCTCTGATCAGGCTATTCAGAGGATTGGCAGATGGGAATCTGGGAGGTTTCGGTCATACGTACGGCCCACGCGGCTAATCGGTTCCCCTCTTGTGTTTTCTCCACAGGGCCCGGCCGTAGGATCTGGCTGATTGGGCATTCGTACATCTATTGGGCCCATCTGCGGGCTGGGGTACGCCCGGGTGGGACACGCCTTGGAATTCCTCGGGAGCTGGCGGAGGTCCGATGGTTTGGTTTCCGGGGCATGAGATGGGGCCAGCTCTTGCCGGAGGTTGTACAGCTGGCCACTTTCCTAGGGGCGCCTGATGTATTGGTGATCCACTTGGGTGGCAATGATCTGGGGGTACTGCCTGCTTGGGGTTTGGGTGAAATGATTAGAAGGGATTTAGCGCGCTTGCGAGTTTTGTTCCCGCAGCTTTGTTTAGTTTGGTCTGGGATAGTGTCCAGGAACTATTGGGGGCGCGCGCGCGATCAGGGGGCTATTGAACGATGCAGGGTAAAAATTAATAAAAGAGTGTCAAAATTTGTGCTCGGCGTTGGTGGCATTTCGGTGCGCCACCGAATATTTGAACGTGACGCGGCGATATATTTTCGCCCGGACGGGGTCCACCTGACCGATGTGGGGTTGGATTTCTTCAACCTAGCTCTGCAGGATGCGCTGGAACAGGCCATGGCATTGGTGGGGGGTCGCGCCTGCTGATTTAGGCTTAAATGCAGCTGGCGCTAGTGGCGGGTATGGTCCTTGCCGAACCAGTGGAAAAGGAGTGCATTGGACGAAGGAATGCTGGGTCTGGTCCCTCCCTTAACCTCGGGCAATGGTTTGGTATTTGGGCGTGCCCTCCGTGCCAGGAAAAGCGGCCAGGGGTTGGCATGGGGAATTGGAGGGCCAAGGTGAAGGCCAATTAGCTTGGACGAGGGGGGAGGGCAGGTGCCCTGGAAAGAGGTACTCAAAAGGTTATTATGGTCCGGTTGGCAAGGACGGGTTTTGAGCTAAAAATATACGCTCATATTAAACATAATTGAATTGGTTTTACTTATATATATATATAAATAAAGCTGTGGCCTGTTTATACCACATTTATGTCTCTGTTTTAATTGGGGATGGGGTAAGGTGGGGGCGGGGTGGGTGGAGCAGTTTTGGTAATCACAAGGGGCACCACACGTTAACCACTACCTGCACACAAGGCCCAGAGGAGGCGGGCTGAAAGCTAGCCGGATAGGAGGCATGTGTGGGTGTGGTGGGTGTAGGTGTCATAAGTGGGTGTGTCAATTAGAGTAAGGGATGGGTGTGGTCCTTTATATACCAGTCATTTTGTCTCCCTTACCTCAGCCATCTTAGATTTAACGGCGTGGTAACATCTCCCTCCCTCCCTCCCTTTGTTGATACTTTGGTATCCGTTTCCATCTTACTAATTTATTTCTTTTGTCACAGCTGGCGGGTATGGTCCTTGCCGAACCAGTGGAAAAGGAGTGCATTGGACGAAGGAATGCTGGGTCTGGTCCCTCCCCTAACCTCGGGCAATGGTTTGGTATTTGGGCGTGCCCTCCGTGCCAGGAAAAGCGGCCAGGGGTTGGCATGGGGAATTGGAGGGCCAAGGTGAAGGCCAATTAGCTTGGACGAGGGGGGAGGGCAGGCGCCCTGGAAAGAGGTACTCAAAAGGTTATTATGGTCCGGTTGGCAAGGACGGGTTTTGAGCTAAAAATATACGCTCATATTAAACATAATTGAATTGGTTTTACTTATTATATATATAAATAAAGCTGTGGCCTGTTTATACCACATTTATGTCTCTGTTTTAATTGGGGATGGGGTAAGGTGGGGGCGGGGTGGGTGGAGCAGTTTTGGTAATCACAAGGGGCACCACACGTTAACCACTACCTGCACACAAGCAACCAGGCTTCTCCAGTTCACAGTGGCGAGGTTGGTTTCGCCACACATACATTTTAGGTGAAGCCAACTACGTGATTGTGTCACTGGCCTACCCCCTCCCACTGGCGTACATATTCCTGGACTGCCAAAGTTGGGAAGTATGTAATAATGCTTGAACACTTATTGAGAATCTCCCTTAATCACCATTAAAGAATATCTGTTCAAAATTAACAAATTGATGTAAAGTTTGAATTTAAAGGAATTTAAAAACACTAACAACTGATGGTTTGCATGGTCATTTTGTTCAGAAATGCTTAGACTGGGAGGCTCTCCTGAAAGCTTGTCTTTCAAACAATAGGTTAGCCTTGACGATGAAGCAAAATACACCAGAGTACTGGGGGATCACAGTGATACAGCTTCTTAAATTGAAATAACAGTTTTCTCAATTTACATAATTGGAATTATGAATCAGAATTACTCTACATTTTTATAGCTGAAAGGATCCATCTTCCTCCATTCTAGCACAGCTAATGTAAGCTTTTCCATCAGGTAACCCCAATAACCAACAGTTCACCTCCAAATAACGTCCTATGTATCAATAAATGTGTAACTAACTCCAGATACATTAAATGGATCCGATTTATAAACAGAATTCACTGATCTCTAGTATTTCCAGTGAATCAATGATGTATGCCATTCCTTTTGTCTTAGGATATTTCTGTCTGGTTAAATGACACATTACACAGAATTCAGGAAGAATGCATACTGAGCTGATTGATGGAGGTTAGTGCTGTGCACATTGACATGGTAAAAGACAGAAAAAAAATCACGTCCAGCACCAAACACACTGTTTACACAGTACTGCATGGCACGTATGAGCTGAAAAGCGGAGAACTTATTTTAGGATTGCACCAGTGCTATATGTTACCGTTATAGGGAACTAGCCGTAATGACCACAGCTGTTTTCAGAGCTAAAAATAGAGAAAAACAAACAAACAACATTCTATTAGTATAATTATCATAAATATAAAAACATATATTGCACAGCCAGTGGCGGAACTAACGTAAAGAGGGCCCAAGTCCAATAATTATTTTGCCCCCCGTCCCAATCACAAGGGTGGCCAAAAGGTAGATTCCCATCTGTTGTACAACTCCCACACTGGGGATCTATATGTCCATTCTTATAGGGTTGTATTTAGCACTAAACAGTGTTTGTGTGTTTGAATGTAAGCATTTGATTGTATGGAGTATATGTGAGTGAATGTAGGGTTGTGTTTGTATGCAGTGTTTGCGTTTTAATACAGAGGTGTATTTGTGTGTTGTTTTGATGTCTGAGTACTGAGAACTGTGCATCTTTACATATACACTGCCAAACACACACTGATACCCATATACACACATGTGCAGATAAACAGGCCACAGATACACACACTAGCACACGCAGATACAGACACATAAACTGACATACATGGAAATACACACACAAACACAGTTTCAAACACTGACACACATGCAGCACAGAAACACACAGATATATATAGATACAAATGCAGATGCACAAACACACACATACGCCCACTGACCCAGAGATGAAACTGGCTGCCCTGCCACTCTCTTAAGTCTCCCGTGTGGTCTACAGTCCTTGTGATTGTCTGCCCCCACCATTCCTTGTAAACATGGTACTGGCTGCAACGTAAACTGTTACTCCAACCACTATGACCACTTGTACTTTTTGAAGAGGTCATGCTGCTAGTAGTTGGGATGTGTAAAATTGCACACCCAGAATTATTGGCACTTGTGTGCTGGGTGCTAGTTGCACTCCCAGAACATATGCCTTAGACAGATCAGCTCTGCATCAGCGCGGTATTTTTAATGAGGCTAACAAGACATTTGCCCTGGCAGCACTTTCAAGGGGACGGTAAAAAAAGCCACCAACCAAGTGCCCTGGCAGATGCCCTGTTAGCCTCTTTCACGGGGACACAGGAGATGACCAAACGGCCACCTCAGGGCCCCTAAGGCGTTCTAGCAATGCTGGGAGCCGGAATATGACGTCATTCCAGCTCCTGGGATCACTAAGCGGCGCACAAGGGAGCTGAGCAGGAAGAGCTCAGGGTACAGAGTGCTCCCTTGCAACCCGCATAGGCTGACAGTCCCCGTCTGCCTGCCCAGCAGCAAGAGCCAACCCAGCTGCCAGCCCCACTGGACCACAAGGAAGAATCCACTCCAACTGTCCCAAAGGTAGGGAGGCTGGGTGGATAATTAAAATTAAATTGCGAATAATTTGTGTTGGACAATGTGTGTGAGTGTGTCAGTATCGTGGTGTCTGTGAGTGAATGTGTGTGTGTGTCTGTTAGTGAATGTGCATGCCTGTCCGTATGTGCCTGTCAGTGAATGTGTGTGTGCCTGTCAGTGAATGTGTGTGTGCCTGTCAGTAAATGTGTGTGTGCCTGTCAGTCAATGTGTCAGTGTGCGTCTGTGCATGAGTGTGTATCTGCTAGTGAGTGTATGTGTCAGTCAGTGTTTGTCCGAGTGTGCGTCTGTTAGTAAATGAGTGTGTCTGTAAGTGTGTGTCTTTTAGTGAGCGCATTTGTCTGTCAGTGAAAGTGTGTACCTGCTAGTGAGTGAATGTGTGTGTCTGTCAATTAATTTGTGTGTGTGTGTCACAGTTTGTGTATCTGAGCGTGTGTGCCTGTCAGTGAGTAAATGTGTCATTGGGTGTCAGTCAAACTGCATGTTGGTCTAAAACAGGAAGAGGTGCAGCCTTGACAGGAAAGGGTGGATCAAATTTAGATTGGGGGGGTGCCCGTGTTTCATCAGGCCTAGGGCAGCACAAATTCAAAATACACCACTGGTCTGCATGTGAGTATGCTTTGTATGCCCAGTCCTGCCCTGCAAAAAGTGGCCGAGCATGGATGTCATTACAATTATCCTCCCACACACACACACAGCTACACAGCACACATATAATACACATACAGCTCACACACACATTCCAGTAACAGTCATAGTGAATGTATACATTATCATTATGACAAATGTGTTACTTACTATTGAAGGAGAATTGCGATTTTGTCCTGAAGAGAAACAAATAAAATGCTGTGTTAGAAGCTGGTAGAATAATTCCATCCTACAATCAGGACATTATTTAACAGGCAATGGATAGAGTCTGTAACACAGAGAGAGCAAACTGCAGCCTAAAAAACAGGGGTTGGAAAGGTTTAGGGATATCCCTGTGTTTGTCTGAGTCCCAGCTGCTCTGACTGAGGCAGTGATTGCTCCACCTGTGAACATGCAGGGATAGCCTGCTCCAGCCACACTGAGGCAGTGATTGCTCCACCTGTGAACATGCAGGGAATAGCCTGCTCCAGCCACACTGAGGCAGTGATTGCTCCACCTGTGAACATGCAGGAATATCCTGCTCCAGCCACACTGAGGCAGTGATTGCTCCACCTGTGAACATGCAGGGATATCCTGCTCCAGCCACACCGAGGCAGTGATTGCTCCACCTGTGAACATGCAGGGATATCCTGCTCCAGCCACACCGAGGCAGTGATTGCTCCACCTGTGAACATGCAGGGAATAGCCTGCTCCAGCCACACCGAGGCAGTGATTGCTCCACCTGTGAACATGCAGGAATATCCTGCTCCAGCCACACCGAGGCAGTGATTGCTCCACCTGTGAACATGCAGGGAATAGCCTGCTCCAGCCACACTGAGGCAGTGATTGCTCCACCTGTGAACATGCAGGGAATAGCCTGCTCCAGCCACACCGAGGCAGTGATTGCTCCACCTGTGAACATGCAGGGAATAGCCTGCTCCAGCCACACCGAGGCAGTGATTGCTCCACCTGTGAACATGCAGGGATATCCTGCTCCAGCCACACCGAGGCAGTGATTGCTCCACCTGTGAACATGCAGGGATATCCTGCTCCTGCTTTATTTAAACATATTCTGACAAGATGCTCTGTTTGGTCTGTAACATTGCAGTTGGCTAGATTGTTACCTGAAAGCTTCTTCCATATAACAAATCCTACAACGATGCCAATCACTCCAAGAACAGCAATAACACCAATCACTATCCACAGGACGGGGTTTGACTTCAGCTCTAAATAATAGAGAAACAAAAGGTATGATTAGGGGTGAGAAATTCTGAAAATCTAAGAGGTGTTAAGAGAACCTTATTATTACTTGTCCATAACTGTCCGTGGGTACAGCTGGTGGAAGTAAAAGGACAAAAGGTATAAAAAGTCTAAGAGAAAATACAAAATATGACAAACAAATTCAAGAGGTTTTGAGGGCCCTATTCCCATTGGAGCTTACTATCTAGATGAGGCTTCCCCAAACTCTGGCCCTCCAGATGTTACTGAACTACAACTCCCATGATTCTATGAATGAAATAGGCTGAGCATCATGGGAGTTGTAGTTCAGCAACATCTGGAGGGACGGAGCTTGGGGAAGCCTGATCTAGATGGATAGGAGGGGTCAGAGAAGAAAGTTGGTTAAGTAGAATGCATTAGTCACCGAGTGGTTGGCTTCCCTGGGAGCATTTCAAGGAAGGCAGACAAGGAAAGTCTAAATGCTACCAATCCTATGGATAACAAAATTCTCCTGTACATCGGACCCATTTCAACAGATCTCCCTCTTCCTTGTGCAAAGCTATAGCTCGGGTCTCTTCGGAGCAAGAATCAGTGGGACATTGTACTACACAAGCAGCAGAAACATGCACGGAAACACAATGGGTTAACCAACTTCTAGAGGACCTGGGAACAAAGAGCCAATGCCCATCCGACCGATGGAAGACAACCAGAACTCCATAAAGATGGTGCAAACATAGAAAGTCACTGCACACACCGAGCACATTGACATTATGTAATAAGAGACCTGCACCAGAAAGGATTTATTGAGATCTAGCAATTCCCAGCTGACATTTTGACAAAACCCTTAATTTAGTAAAGTGAGAATTCAAAGTGAATTTCAAATTTAAGGCCAAAGTAGTCAAACTGAAGGCATAGCTCATAGTTCTAATTCGACTATCTTGACCTTAAATTTAAAAATAATTTTGAATTGTCATGTTAGTGAATAATTCTGTTTACTTAAAAATAAATGTAGTAGGTTCGATTTAGGCACCATTGAGGAGGGGATTGTTAGTAATAATCGTTAGTGCCTAGTATGAGTGTGTTGGAAGTGGCAGAGGCTCATCCGTAAGCCCCTTCCCCCCTCCTTTTTTGCAATAAAGTAAAAATAAACTATATAAAGTTTTCTGGTTTTAACAAGTTTCCCTTGTTTACTCCTCTGTACTGTTGCTAGTGAGAGTAAAGAAAAAATGCCTTTTCAGATTTTTGGGGTTCTTCCAAAAATTTGATTAAACTCTGTCTAAAGTTCTCAACTTTGCCGGACAGCCCCCTATTGTTTGTTAATGGGCCCATAAGGGAGCCAAATAATCTGCAATAATTAGAGAGGTCAGCCTAGTATCTTGCCAACTGGGCTCTTATTAGCTGTTTGCACCAGGGGGTGGAATTGGATCAGTAAAAGATATGTGGCTGGCGTCCTTCTCCCTTCTTCTTTGACCTAACACCTCTCTCCCCTCCTCCCTGCACTATCAGATCTCTCCACTCCTCTCTGCGCTATCAGCTCCCTCCCCTCGATCCTGTGCTATCAGCTCTCTCCCCTCCTCCCTGTGCTATTTGCTCCCTCTACTCCACCCTGCGCTATCAGCTCCCTCCCCTCCACCCTGCGCTATCAGCTCTCTCCCCTCCTCCCTGTGCTATTAGCTCCCTCTACTCCACCCTGCGCTATCAGCTTTCTCCCCTTCTCTCTGCACTATCAGCTCCCTCCTCCCTGCGTTATCAGTTCCCTACCTCCGCGCACTAGTAACCTTGTGCTGGCTGCAGTGCTCACCCTGCTTCTTCTCCTGCAACTGTGTCATCGAATAAACTAACCCTTCAATGTAAACTATTCTAGTAACCTACATTCACGCCCCTCCCCCCCCCATTAATGAAATACATCCTACCCGCACCTCTTGTGCCACTTTACCCCACTCCCTCTGGAATGCAAACTTGTTTGAGAAAGGTCCTCAACATCCTCTGTTCCTGTCCGTCTAACTCATCATGTTACAAATGCTCGTTGTGGCAAACATGCCTATGCCACGAGCTCCTGGAGAATCCTGCTGGCTAGTCTCCTGCAACAAGGACTATGGGCCATGTCCACAAACCCAGTTTGGGAGTTAACCTGTTTAACCTCCCGAAGAGAATTTCCCCCAGTTGCCCAGGTTCGGCATTTTCCCTTCTCCCGAATTCAGCCGAACTCTGGCTCCCTGGTGGCCGTTCGCATGCACCAAAACCATGAACAGTCTCAGGGGTACTTGGCCGCCATTGCCTGGAACAAATTTCGGCATGAGGACTTCGTGGTTCCCAGTCGGTCTCCAGCGATACCTAGCTTTGATTACTCTGGAAATATTTTCGGCTAGGGGACCGTGTGGTTCCCAGGCAACTTGGTCCGGTGGTTTTGACCACTTTGCGAACCACCATGCAATTGCTTTTAGGAGGGAATGTGCCTGAGACTAAGATGAATAAACTCTTCATGAAAGCCAGGAGGAGCACTCCGTATTTTGGCCGCAGGAGCTCCCGAAAGATGACCGGCAAAAGCACTAACTGCCCTGGAACTGTTTTGGGCATGGGGCCATGTGTACGGCCGGTCAGAACTTGTGACACAGTGGCGATTCCCTTGTGCTGTATGGATCTGAGTGCTTTGTATGATTTGTGGGGTTATTGTGTGTTTTTATTATGTTTTGGGGTACTTTTATGTTTTTATATTTTGTGTTTGGTTCTCTATTCCTGGGAGATAATTAGCATACTGGTCTTTAACGCAATTATCTCCCAGGCCCAGAGATCTATGGGAGGGGCTTGTGTTGTATTGAATAGAGACCCTCTGCTGGGAGCCATGTATATAAACAGGCAATTTGGCCATAATAAACCAATTCCTTTTCACCCTTCACTCAGTCTAGGCTAGTGTTTGGGTTGACCAGCTACACAGCTATAGTCTCTGCAGGAGAGCTTAATCACTTGAAGCTGTATCCAGGACCCTTCTCCAGGGTGGTAAGAGACAGCGAGACCCCAGCCAAGCTGCGGCAGCTAGGGGCTGGAACGCTGCTGGTGTCTCGGTGAGAGCTAGGAAGCAAGCTTGACGGAGGTACCCAGCCGGGGTACCAGACGTCCGTCACACTTGTCTGCTAGTCCACCTATTGTAGAGTTCTGCAGAATTGTTGGTGCTTTATAAATAATATTTTTTTATTTTAATTTTCCTACTGAATAAATTTGTATTGCATTAAGCACTTTACTGTAAAATAAATATTTGCAAAGTAATCATTTGGAGGCATCTAGTGGAAAACCTCTGTATTACACTTGAAATTTTAGTTTGGCCTTAAAATACCCTATTTATTTTATTCTTTAATAAGAATATCTATGTGGTTTATTCCCTATCTTTGGGATAGTCCACAGATTTTGAAGGTAGTAGTGCCATGCATATTCCTATTCATTATTAAAAACATTTAGGGATAGATTCAAATCCATGAAGTGACCAGTCTGGCTCCCCACCAGCCTCTACTAGTTTGAAGACTTTTGGCTGCTGGTAGCATTTTGCAGTCTGTCCTATATGGTCTCTCTGGTGCTGAAGAGGAGGTGGGTTCTCTTCCTGTATTTCTTCTCTTTTCCACTCTTGACATGCAGCCAGTTTTTTTGCATTTGAGATCTTCATATGTGTGTCCTGCCCCGACTTCTAAATGATGCTGCTGTGCTAATACAGCTTTGCTAAATTTCACCTGGTTCTTTAATAATTATACTAAACACCAACAAATGAGCTTGATCAATAAGAACACTCACTCTGGGGTTACCCTAAAAACGGAAACTTATCCACACTGAAGAAAGACTGGACTGTCCTATGAAGTATTGGTAATCAAATTGCAATAGTCTTCCTTGACTAAAGTGTTACTTTTATTGATTTAAAAAAAGTAAATACTAGAATTCCACCAAGTCACCTAAATAGGATTGCAAGTTACTAAAGCTATCTCAAATAGTCCCTTCCTCAAAGAAAGTCCTTGTAGGACTATAGCTCCCAGGACTGTGTGTCGTCAAGTCCTTGAGAGGAAATAGAGCTAGTCCCCTACCTTGTCCCAGGATCGACAGGCTCCAGGAGGACCCCAGTAAAGCCACGTCAACTGGGGTAGAAGCGCTGAGAAAATTGAGTTGGTTCAGTTCCTGACACAATTATCTCTCAGGCACAGGGGAGGAGTTTGGGACTGGTAACTAGTCCAGAAGAGGGATTATCTTGTTTGTATGGGAGTGTCATGAGCGTGATCAACTGTATCTGAAACTGTATAACAGCAGACCATCTGGCCAGATTAAAACATTCCAGCTTGTACTCCCAGAACTATGTGTTGTCTGGATACTGGGATGGGAAAGGGCTAATCACTGTTCCAGTGTGGAGGATTCATTGGGGAAAGTTCTTGTAAGGACTAGAGCTCCCAGGACTGAGTGTCATCCAGTGCCTGGGGGTTGATAGAGCAAGTTCCCCATTCGGCTCCAGGAGGGAGCGGTTCCAGGACCCCAGTCAAACCACGGCGACTGTGGGCAGAAGTGCTGTGGTTTGTCCACTGCTCCAGGTAAGAAGCGGTCCTTGGTGGAGGTACCCAGCCAGGGGTACAGGGAGCTCCATTACACTCACCCTTTTCTGTAATTATCATATTATTGAGTTTATTACTTTACGACCGATAGAGACTAAAATTACTCAAAAAGCCCACACTGAAAAACAACTCATGATATCTGTGTTATTGTGACACGTACCCCAATTTACTATAAGTGGTTTCTCCAAGCTGATGTGTTCCACATGGCAGGTGTATTTCCCTGTGTCCTTTAGTGGTACTTCCACAGTAACTGTGATCTGGTAAGTGCCATCCATATTGGGAAGAACTTGTCTGGGTTCATCTGAGGGAACGTCAACGTCATCTCTCTTCCAATTCACATCCACGTCCTGGGGGTAAAACCCGTAGACGTGGCAGTAAATCTTTGTGGCTCCATCTGCTTTCTGATCTGAAACCTTCACCTCTGGTCGAACTGAGATTAGAAAAGAAAAATATATAAATAAAATACAGATTAAAGGGTTACTCCAACCCTTAAAC